AAATCAATCATTGATACATTTTTAATTGTAAATGAAAAAAAAAATTCCAATTACTTCTTTTGGACTTCATATTTTAGTGCAAATATAATTCCGATAAGCAAACAGATATTTTTTAGTAACTATTAGATGGTTTTTTATTAATAAAAAATACCAAAATATATCTTTGCCTGTAATTAGAATGTTAGTAAAAATGTATAAAAGAAACAAAGGTGACCCATCTACGCCAAAGGGTTAAGAAAGTACATCTAAGACAAGGGATAGGCTAAAGAAAACTGACAAAATACAAATAATCCGGTAGTACTACGAAAGCTGGAGCGACCAACAATTACGGCCTTTCAATATAACAATAGTTTAATAACTGCGCCTTTTATATGTAAAAAATATGATCAAAATACCGTTACGAAAACATGAAACGATATTTTCACGCGATTCATCGTGATATTTTGTACTTTCGAAATATCTCCACTTAAGATTTTTTGCCAGTGCCAAAGAAAAATAACATAGCGCTTTAGAAATGGCATTTATAGATCAGTTAGTCAAAAATCAAAATTTTGATTTTCGCTAATTTAATTTTGCTGTATTTACCAAGTTTCCATTATTAATTGCGAGAACCTAAAACTTTTGGTGTGCCAGTATAAAACTCGATAGTTCACAAGTAATTTCCCTCAAAATGTTTGATTTCCATTTGATTTCTTCGCATAATTTAGTTAATTTATTTCCTATTTTCCTACTTGATAAATAATTGACATATTATCTATTTTCCCATTTGCATTCAAAACCATATTGGCAATTAATGAAATATATTAGCAATGATTTAGTAAGAAACTTCTTAGGAACATGGATGAAAGATTTCGATTCTATATTTCAGAAATGGTAGAATTTTCTACATTTTTTGAAACTAAATCAAATTTAGTGTATGTTATAAGCGTTTTCAATTTTTAACAAGTGTAACACATTTTTTTAACAAAAGAAAAAATAAATAAAGAAAAAAACCTTATGACCCACGCCATTTTGCGAGATTCAGTTAATATTTAGTTACTGAAGCAGGGTATGTATGGGTCATTTTAAACAAGCGCACAATTATTCTTGTTGTATTTTCTTCTGTTAAAACACCGAAATACCATCGTTTTTTAGCGTATACAGAATGCATAGCTCCCTTATTCTCCTGTTCTCAAAGTTTTTCACTCATTTTTGTGGGACAGTAGTAAAGACGAAGAGAATGCAAAAAAAATTTCACAATCATTGTTGAGATCGAAATCGCCATTGAGTTAATCGAAATCAGGATAAGTGGCAGAACTATTCGATTCATCAGCGCGAAATCATAACTAACATGTCATAAATCTGGAGTGGTATCTGTTGTAGAAACATTTATCCGGCATTAAACTGCTGTATTATTGCATTTATTGAAAGATTCATTTTTTCGCAATTTTATTAAATTAATATTTTTGTTAATTCTGAAGTAATCTATTTTTACTGAAGCAAAATTTTTAAAATTTAAGCAAAATGATATTAATTCAATAAAGACATCTTACCTTAAAACTAATGAAGTAATAATTTTACAAATAGTTGAGGAAATATTCTTTTAACTATTACGGTAATACATCTGTGCAATACCTACCAAATCATGCAGTATATTATTAATAAAAACATGCAGAATATTATTAATTTAAAAAAAAAAATCACTCGTCAGGAATTTATAAATTTCGTTTTATTTTAGTTTATACCTTAATCTTAATTTTAAGAATTTCCTTTACATTCCAGCGAAAAGTAGATGCAAACTAAGATGCATATGTTAATCTAAGATGTGCATATTAAGTAAGATGTTTACAATAATTTTTATTTGTTATTAAATCATAAAAAATATCAAATAACAATAACAATAAAAGATAAATAACATTTCATTTTTAGGAACATTTCATTTTTTAAGAACATTTCATTTTTAAGAACATTTTTCGAATGATTGTGGACTTAAATTAAAATTTAATTATGAAATTGTAGAAATTGTGTGAATTGAAATTCATATAAATTTGCTAGTAGATATTGAAATTAGCTAAAATATTGCCAAATAAAAGAACAATTGAAATGAATCTGTTGGAAGTATTTAAATTAAAAATATTCATTTTATTTAAACCATTCTAAAAATATTTAAAAGTAATAGTAATGTACATATACTCAGCTAAAAATAAACTGCTGAAAATCTACCAAAAAATGCAGTTTGAAGACTGTGGTGATTTGGCTAATTCCACTACAGTATTTTTGAAGTGGAAACACTACAAAATTACTGCAGTTTGTAAACTGCATCAAGTATGTATTTCATGAATTTTTCTTTTATGTATATAGACAGTGTAAGTTATCTCCCTTATCAATATATATGTTTAGAATTTTTACCTAAATATAAGTAATTAATATGTAATCAAAGACAAATAGAAAAAATAAACGTAAACATTATTAAAAGTTGATTTACCAACGAGGAAAGCATGATTGAAGACATCTAAGACTTTAAATTTTACAACAATACAAAGTAACTGTAGTTTTTCTGCAGATTCATCAGAAAATATACTTCTGAATCAATGACTACATAATTACTTCAAATTTACTGCAGGATAACAACGAATTTCAAAGTTTTTTTCAAAAATTTATGATCTTAAAATGATCTCACTTGAACTACACTAATATGGTAGACAATAGATAAAAGTTTTCTTGAAATAAATTACGTATAAATTACTTCACTTTATCTGCAAAATAACTGCAGTGTTTTTACAGTTAGGATTGCACTACAGAAAATCAGCAGTTAACTGTAGAAAAACTGCATCAGTTCTGTAGAATAACTGCAGTGTATTTTTAGCTGGGTAGATACATATAAAGTACATATAGATATAAAGTGTATATAAGTATTTTTATTTATTTATTTAGATATCTAACACACTGTTAGATTTCAGTCTCTTCAAAGAAAAATTCATCAATGCTTCTGATAAAATTCAAACTTATATCAATGCCAGGGGCAAAATTTCTCAATCGACTTTCAGTCAAGTTTCATATTTTAAAACGCATTTTTCAACTATGAAATATTTGAAAGCATTTTCCAATCAAACAACAAAATTTCCGAGTAACATATTGCATAAAACGCTACTCTATATTTTTATAAATCTCAGGCTAGTTCTTATTTTATAAAAAATCAATATAATTTAACTTTATACCCCTTTTTTATAGACATCTTAGAAAAATATGATATTTGTTATAAAATATTACATTTATAAATTGAAAGTCTGAAACGATACGTATTCAAAAAACACTTTTCAAACTTAACAAAACAAACAAAAAAAATCAAGCAGTGAAAAAAAATCATGAAACTCTTAAAATATTAAAGAAAACACCAAGAAATCCTTATATTCGAAGAAACTTTCAATGTCAATTTTTTTTAATAAAAGAGAGTTGTACAGGCTTTTTCTGCCATTTAATTTAAATATTTATTTTCGAAGTTGATTAATGTTGAAAAAGTATTATAAATATACTTATTAGAGTTTAAAGTAATAATTATAATAATTTAAACTATCCAAATAAAAAACAGCTATAGAACAAAACTTGTTTCTCTTTTTTAATACCAATAAAAAAATTAACGTGGAAGAATAATCATTGAACAACTATATATTGCTGGATTTGATAGAAGAATGAAGCTAGGATAAAAGTAATTTGGATAAGCCAATTAAGAAACAAAGGTATTATGCCACTATATAACGTTCCAAAAACATATACTTTATTCGCATTAAGGAATTATAAATGCTTTAAAAAACTGTGAAAAGATATTCATAGGAAATTACAAAAAAAGTTTTTAAAAAAATCTATAGTAGATATAAAGCAAAAACAATAGCTATTATTAGAGGATATCAAACCACGGCTAAAGTGGAATAAAATTGAGTTAATTTATTTTGTAATTTTTTAATTAAAAATTACACTATTATAGTTTTTTCATATAAAAACTAGAACAGTATAATTTAAAATGCATTCACAACATTGCCACGCAATTACATTTATTTTTAATTCAATTGTAATAGTAGAAATAGTATTTAGTGTTTGAGAAATGTAAAAAAAGCTCTTCATTTTTATAATTATTTTTCCGTATTCTATTTAATAGTGAGCACTATAAATCTCCAGTTGTTTCGAGGATTTTTTTTAAAAATCTATATAGTCTGTTGCAAACTATAACATTCTGGTGAAATTACCATTCTGTATGGTAATTAAATTTTTTGTAAAAAAAACAACATCATTTTGGTATGAAACCAAAATATACTCCTTTTAAACCATTCATTTGTTAATTTTTCCGTTCATATGATAAAAGTTTACCAGAAATTCTGGTTCTCTAAATAATAGCTCGTATCAACACACATTTAGTAAAAAATACAAAACTGAAAAGTAAATTTAAACGAATAAATGGTTTTTATGCCATGCTTTAAGGTATGATAAAATTACCAAATTTTACTACATTTACCAAATTTAATCACGTATTATAAAACCATATTTAATTGTATATTCTACAAAATTCATTATCAAAGCGCTTCGGTAAAAATTCGGTAAATATTTAAGAAGTCCCCGCAATGTCCAAAACATGATAAATTTTACCATATTCTGGTTGTTTTGGCCAAACTTTTATTTCTCAGAGCTTGCTTCCACTCCTAAAATTTCGATATAACAACGTTAAAAGTGGAATCACAAGTAATTTTTCAAAAGTTCTATCATTTAGATATTTTATGTGTCATTAACACAAAAGTATCTGAAACAAAACTTATTTTATGCTGAGATGTCATTAAAACTATTATTCATTATTATTTCATGTTTTATATGACACATTAAAATTAGAAAGATCTTTTTGATCTGCATTTCAAGTGTGATTTATCATTAAAACTTTTTTTTTTACATTTTCCGTTAAAACTCCTCAATAATTATTTATCAACATTGATTGAAAATGCACTTATCTTATTTAAAAAGAGTTTTTTTCTTTTTAGGATCTTCTCAAGATAAACTGCTTGAAAAGATAGGACATTGTGTAGCCAATACTTGTCTCCTATGGTTTCGAAAGTCGTTAAAATTCCTTGGCAACACTGTTGAAGATATGTGGTTAAGTGTTGAAAATGTTCGAGTGGCCTCTTCTGAAGCAGATACTTCCTTAAGAGTTGAAGCGATACCTGATGGACCCTTACAAGTAAATTTCGAACAATATTTTTATTTTATTTTTATTACTTAACAATAAAAAGAATATCAAAATTAAATGAATAAGAGAATCTTTTAAAGCAACAGAAACCCTATGCCACTAATATTAAAAAGTATAATTTTCAATAAATAATTTTTAATAATTGCGTTACATTTTAGCTTAAATTTTAAAAGCAATGATTTTTTTTTTACTGTTTCAATGAGAATCATTGTAAAACGTTTAGTGCAATGTTACCACCAATTTTACAGTGCATGTTGTCACATTTTTTATTTACTTTTCAACTGTTATATCTTTATTAATTAATAAATTGTTTATTTGCTTGTTTACTGACAACATATATTTTCAGGCCCATTAGAATCAGTTTGATGACTTATTGCAAAAACATTTCATTTAAAAAGAATCACATTTTTAGTTATAGATTCGTCCTAATTCTTTCAAACAATAGTTTTTATCATTTTTATATAAATTTTTACACCATAACTACAGTTATGCACTTAAAAATGTATTTTAGTTTTGCCCAGCACTGAAACTGGGTGCAACTATGCACATAAATTTTTTACAGTGTTTACAATTTTGATAAGAAGTTTTGCAACGTAATTTGTTTATATTTATACAAGATTTTTTGGAAAAAAAAGACACTAAAAATTACCGAAATTTTGCGGATACTAATTTTGAAAACATAATTAAGGACATAAAATCTTGTTTGATACAGTTAAATAATGTAAGGAGACAATGCGTATGCATATCTAAATTTAAATTTATTAAACGTGTAAACTTTTTTAAATTATTTACTTAATTTCCTACAGGAATTTTTATACAGAAAAAAAACACCTTAAAAACATTACAATTTTATTGATACAATTTTTTTCACTGAAATTTTAGCAAAAGCTCTTGTTTAATGAATTTAAATAATTCAATGTACAAGTATACCAAAATATATGTTTATTAAACCAGTAATTTAAGAGAAGGTCTTCCTTGTGTGTTGAAATTTATAGTTTTGAGGAAAAGACGCCTAAAAAAATGAGTAAAATCATGAAGCATGGCGCAAAAATTTTTAAGCAATCTTAAAAATACTTATAATGAGGCTTAGATTGGGAATTAAAATTATTTGACAATAGAATTCCTTTAGTTATCTATTTGAACTGCAGTACTAAAAGAAAAATCGAAAAATTTGTGTTTCTGTCAATAAATTTTGGTTGAGGACAAAACTTCATATGTTATAAACGTATAAATGGTTTTATATTTTAGGAATATAGATTTCTTCCAGAAATTTAAAATATTTATCCATAATCTTAATTATTCATAATCTTAATTTTTGAGTGATACCCCCCACATTTAAAATTACTAAGACTTTTACTGACTTTTTGTAAAAGGTCCATTTTTGTGAGGGGTGAAATTTAAGTTTTGTTTTTATGAAAAAAAGAAACTCAAAATTCATAACTTAAAGACTTGTAAACGCATATAAATTATTGATTTCGTTAAAAATGTGCATTTTTTGGAACTTATAAGATAATTTATTCGCAATCCTATTTTTTGTTTATTTAGTTTTACTCGAAGAAGATCACACATCACAACATAGTAGAACAAACATCATTCGAATGAATGTAATTATCATTCATCATAGCTTCATCGGGTAAAAATTAATAATAATAAAAAAATAGGATTACGAAAAAATCGTATTTAAAGTTTCGATCGTATTTTTTGTAATTCTATTGCTTTATTAATTTTTAAAAGAAGAAGCAGCTCAACCATATTAATAGAACAAGCATTATTCGAATTTATATAGTTATTGATCATCATGACTAACTAAAATACTTTATTTTTAAACCTCAAAACAATACTTTAAAAACAAATTATATGTAATGCACGTGTTCCACAAACTACTCTAAAGAGGTTATCTTTTGAAGAAAATAGGAGATCCTGATTCCGGAGTTGCTCTAATGATGCTTTTCCTCTTCTTGTTATGTTTTTTTTCTTTTGTATTCATGTCAGACGGAATTTATAGCGCCGTTAATTCTGTTTATTATCAGTAGGTCTGTTTTCATAGATTTAGATGCAGAATAGCAAAAAGTTGCCTTCATGCTATTAAACTACACTTATTAGTCTGTAAAGACAAAATTCAATATACTTCTTTGCTAATTTAAGCATATTTTAGCTTCTTTATAGGAAACGAATACGAACACTTATAAAACTATGCAATTCGCATTATCAGTTAGCAACCACTTATGAAATCGTTTACTAATTATTTGTTTAGTTAAATTCTAAATGTTTGTCTTTGAACGTAAATTGTAAGCATAAAATTCATTGCTTTCAAAAAAATACAATTAGAAACAACAGTTGACTAAAATAAAAAAATTTAAATTTCAAGATTTGCCAGACGTGAATGAAAAGAAACAAAGGTGATTTAAAAATAAAAGTTGACAACAAGTATGGAAAAATAAAAGTAAGAAACAAAACTAGAGAAGCCACACAGAATAGAACAAGAAAAACCATAATGGTCGAGAGGAGCAAATAAGGGTGAAACACATTTCCACGCGCTATGGAGTAATGTCGTTAAAAAGAGAATCAACATTCATGTGAATACTATGGAGAAAAGGTGAGGAGTTAATGTCGTATAAAAGGGAATCACCATTCATATGAATATCCTCACGACCTCTATATAGTGCGTGGAAATGCATGTTACCCTTATTTATTCCTCTTAGCAGCTGTGGTTCTTCTTGTTTTGTTTTTGTCTTTCTTTTCTCTAGGCTATTTTGGTTTTTCTAGTTTTGTTTCTCGCCTTTTTTTCCAATTTTCGATAGCAACTGTACTTTTTTATCTTTTAAATCTATTTCGTTTCTTCGCATTTATGCCTGGCAAGTCTTGAAAATAGGTGCTTAGGTTTGAGAGGTTTAAATATGTGGACTGTTATTTCCAATTTGTATATTTGTTAAGCGAATGAAGTTTTTAGTCAAGTGATATCTTACTGCTTCAGTACGTTGGGATTATTTATTTAATAAAACAATAATTTAGTTGACAAAAAAGATTTCAAAAAATATTCAATTTGTTAAATTTACACTAACATTCTTATGAACAAAAATTGAGAACTTTAAATGTCTTAAATATTTCTCTACCTTTGAATTCTTAGTGGATTTAAAGGTTGGATAATTGCAACCCATTTACGAGCTAAGAGCTAATTATCTATATTTTTTCGTTTTTAACGTAAACGGTGATCATAAACAACAGTCTAGTTAACAAACGTTAAAAATATTGCTATTTGTTAAATTTACACTAAGATCCTCGAAAAATAAAATGGAGGACTTTAAATGTCGTAAATATTCTTAGAAGTCTACTGCAAAGATAGGATGAGCTTGAGAAAGAAAGTACTAAATATATTCTCACATTACAATAAAACCCTCATAGACTACTATAATCTAGGTAGATGAAAGTCATTCCGTACAAAAAAGCTGACATTTGCGTCAACTGGCTAGTTTCCAAAGCTTTAAGGACTAACTTTCCGGCCAAAAACTATTCAATGCTCATGACTAGAGATAAATGTTGGACATTCAATGTTATCTTGCTTTTGTGGAATCAGTAGAGTTTCTAACAGAACTAAATAACCCAATAGAATAAAAAAAGAACTACATTTGAATCGTGTATATATTTCAGCAAATTGCATTTTTTTTTTGGAATTGTCGGATACAAAAGATCCTAGTTTCGCAATATACTTATACATATAAAACAAGAATTTATTCTCTACAATTTATTCCAGTTATAACTTAAAAGAGGAAATTGACTCAGAAATATGAAAAAACAAATATTAAGCTCAATTTTTTTATTTTACTCTCCAAAGTACAATTTTCTGCTTTCTTATGTCTGAAATTATTCAATAATATTTATGAAGTGTCGAATAGAAATATCTCTAAATTGTATTACGATGCTACATATACTGTGCTACATAGACGATGCTACATAGATGTTAGAAATACTATTTCAATATATCTGATATATTCTAGAATATGGCTGATAATATTAAGAAAAAAAAACTTTGTAATAATAATAGAAAATAAAAAACAATTTTAGAAGACACAAATATTATATTAAATTAGGAAAACAAATTTTCAGAAAGAGTAATATATCATGTTTCATTCATTTGTTAAAGAATTCAATGTACTGAATACGAATACTACAAAAGTGATGGCTCTTTTTGATTCTGATACGTAAGCATTGCTAAAAAAATTTATTTAGCATGATTAAAATACATGTTAAGAATGCATGTTCAGCACAGTTTCTCCTGTCGCTTGCGAATTGAAACAATTTTGTAAGTTCAATAAAGAAGAACTCTTAACAGTTAAACGTCTTGAAAGAGCTTTAAAATATAAATTACATTTTATTAAAGGGATAAATCAGAGATACGTAAATAATAGCATTGCGATAAAATATATAATGTAATAAAATATATAATATAATAAAATATGTAATATAATAAAACATATAATATAATAAAATATATAATATAATAAAATATATAATAGAATAGAATGGAGAGTGAGTTCGTCTGTGTGTTTCTCTTAAAACTACAGAACCATCTATGCTAAATGTCCCGTACCAAAACCAGTGGCAAATAAAATAATAAAGGTCTGAGTGTTCAATTGCAAAATTTACGGAGAAATAGCATTAATTCCTTAAACCAAAATATAAAAATAAACTGTTCTATTATTGACGTCAATGACATTTAATTATACTGGGTAAAAAAAAAACTTCAAGTGGTTGAATGCATCATGAACATCATGTATCATCAATTCTACAGAAATTCAATGTACTAAACATGAATACGACAAAGGTGATGGCTTTTTTTATGCCTAATGAGTGTGCATTGTTAAGAAATATGTTTTACTCATGATTACAATACACGTTAAGAATACATGCTCAGCACAGTTTCTGTCGCTCTGGAATTGAAGAAATTTTGTGAATTCAATGAAAAATAACTCTGAAGATTTAAACTGCTCTAA